CCTCAAAAAAAATAGAAAAAAAGCAAGTTTCTCACCCAACCGACAAACTTTCTCTTTCAATCTTTTCCTTTCTGGAGCTGCCCCGGCTTTAGCAGCATGGGGGCTGCCTCTCCGCTGCCAGCAAAAAGAGCTTCTCCCGGGTCATCCAGGGATTTTGCGGTATCCCCGGAGTCCACAGGGTATGCTCCTCACAATCGTCGTCCCTACGGGATGATTTAGGTCCGTTTGGACCGACCGGAAACGGAGATATCGGCTGCAATCGAAGAGCTCGATTGCAAGCTGTATCGCCACGGCGCAAGCTCCTCCTTCTTTTTCCCCAAAATTGCTTTTGAAGTTGGAAATATTTTTAAAGTGTTCTAAAGGCCTTGGCAATGGTTTTGTTGTTGTTATTGTTGTTGTTGTTTTGTTGTTGTTTGTTTGTTTGTGGCACAGGAAGGCCGCAGTTTTACACTTACAAAGCATGTTACCTTTATTTATTTATGTTTATAGATCAAGCTACTAGAGAGGCTGACTGGCTCAGAGATGGTGGGAATTGTTCAACCGATCCGGAATTGCAGGCACCAGCCCTGGGAAACTCCTCCATTGGCAGCCTTCCCACAAAGGAAACGATACTAGGTGAAGTAATATTTATTGAAAAGCGACATTAATAGAAGCTTAACAAACTTCCCATCGCCGCTTTTAACCGTCTGGACAATTTAGGGTGGGTCTTCTTTTTTTCCCCCAGACCTTTAAGTCACTGGGAGCTCCTGCCTCTCTTGTCTGTTTCCGACGCTGCATCTCTTCATTTCCCTTTCCAAAGTCACCCACGCAGCTGGGCGTTCCGTGCCCGCCCACCCTCAACTGGCTTTCCAATTCATGTATGTGTGCCGGAGAACGACAATCTGTGTGCTTGAAAACTCAGGATGACGTCCCCTCCCGCTTCGCCATCCACTTTCACTTTTCCTCTCCGCACTGGGCAGCCCGAAGCGGCGGCGGATAAGTGGCGAGTTCTTCCCGGGGTCCCGCCTCGCTTCTTTTGCTCCGAACTGTCCAGGCAGGCTGCAGGCGGCGGACAGCGGTAAGGAGGGAATGGGCGGAGAGCCGAGAGAGTTGCCTTCCTCTCCCTTGCTGGACCGGCGCCGGTTCCCCAGGTCTTCGAGGTATCTTGATTGCAAGCCAACCCACTGGGCAGGAGTGACAGTCTTCCGCCATCTTCCAACCCTTGGCTTGCAAGAAAGCGCTCACCGCTTATTCACTGAATGCCTTCTTATCCTGAGCAGAGAAGGCGCAGCATGAAAAGCACAGGCGGTTCGTGGGAAAAGGAAAGCGATAGCCTCTTCAGGATCCAAAGAGAGTTCTCTGAATCCCATCTCGGTTACAGTTAAGGCAGAGTGCAGGAGTCGAGAAATGGAGGGAGTCAAGGAGAATGACTAAGCGGAAGAAGTAGTAGCTTTGCCTGGCCCCCGTTTCTGCTTTTTCTGCTACCCTCTTAGAGACCTTCCACTAACCTCAAACACTTTCTTTCTTTCTTTCTTTCTTTCTTTCTTTCTTTCTTTCTTTCTTTCTTTCTTTCTTTCTTTCTTTCTTTCTTTCTTTCTTTCTTTCTTTCTTTCTTTCTTTCTTCCTTTCTTTCTTTCTTTCTTCCTTTCTTCCTTTCTTTCTTTCTTTCTGTCAAGCAATTATAAGATAACAGGTATAAGTATAAACATAGTTATGGATATATTAAATGGATACATATAAGAAAAAAGAAAAATAAACAATAGGGCAGGGACAGTACTCACATTGGTGAGCTTATGCACGCCTCCTACAGACCTCTTAGGAAAGGGGTGAGGTCAATAGTAGAAAGTCTAAAGTTAAAGTTTTTGGGATTTGGGGAAGAAACCACAGAGTCAGGTAGAGTATTCCAGACATTGACCACTCTGTTGCTGAAGTTGTATTTCCTGCAATCAAGTTTGGTGCGGTTTACCTTGAGTTTGTATCTATTGTGTGCTCTTGTATTGTTATGGTTGAAGCTGAAGTATTCATTGACAGGTAAGTCATTGCAATGTATGATTTTATATACCATACTTAGATCAGACCGAAGATGGTGTAATTCAAGGTTTTCTAGGTCTAGAATTTCAAGTCTGGTGGCATAAAGTATTCTACAACGAATTGAGGAGTAGAGAACTCTTCTTGTGAAATATTTCTGGACTTTCTCAATTGTGTTAATATCAGATCCATAATGCGGGTTCCAGACTGATGAGCTGCATTCAAGTATTGGTCTAGGAAATGTTTTGTATGCTCTCATTAGTAGTGTGATATTACTGGAGAAAAAGCTACGTAGGATTAGGTTAACAACTCTTAATGCCTTTTTGGTTATGTAGTTACAGTTGGCTCTAGCACTTAGATCATTAGATATGAGAACTCCAAGGTCCTTGACAGAGTTTGAATCACCAACAAGGTCTTGACTATTCAGCTTGTATTTTATTTTCTGATTTTTTTTTTCCCAATATGTAAGACAGAGCATTTATTTGTTGAGATTTGAAGTTGCCATTTGTTTGACCATTCTGATACATAGTCATGATCTTTTTGAAGGGTAGCAGTATTGTCTGTGATGTTGAATAACTTTACATCATCAGCTAAGAGAAAGTAGTTGCTTTTAATATGATCACAGAGATCATTTAAGTAGAGTATGAAGTGTGGTGGCCCTGGGGGACATTACTGTTGATAGAATTTGATGGGACGCTCCCAATTTTGACCATTTATTGTTTGTTTGACAGGAATGCTTCTATCCAGTTATGCAGATGTCCAGAGATACCATAAGATTTTAGTTTTAGGAGTAGTTTGTCATGTATCACTGAATCAAAGGCTTTACAGAAGTCTAAGTAGATTGCGTCTATTGCTTTGCCCAGATTGAGTTGTGTAGTCCATATGTTTCTGCAGTGTAAGAGTTGCAGATTACAGGATAGTTTTTTTCTGAAAGCAAATTGTTTGTCTCTAAGTGGAGGATAATGGATTGGTTAATAATTAATTCCATGACTTTACAGGTGACACAGCATAAAGAGATTGATCTGTAATTTTCAACTAGGATGGGGTCTCCCTTTTCGAAGATGGGGATGACCATGGCTTGAGACCATAGGTTTGGCAAGGAGCTGGTCCTGAAAGATTTTTCAAAGATTATGCTTAGAGGTTGGCTTTAATGGTGTTGTCGTTGCAGTCTTTACCATTTGGTCCTTTCAGGGGTTTGATGGACCTTGAGACTTTTAGTTTGTTGTTTACAAAATTGTAGAAAGCATGGGTGGAATTGGTACATAGAAAGTTTTCCTCTTGTTTAATGTGATAATTGGTGTATTCAGTCTTTATCTGGTGGCATAAATTTTTGTATTGACTTTTGAAGTTGGCAATGTGACCAGATTTGTTTTTCCACCCAAATGATTTCTTTTGGATTGAAGCTTCCTTATTGTTATGGGTAATCTTTTTTTTTCTGGTTTTGGGAGTTGTTATTGGTACATATAGTTTGATGACTCTTTTGACTTCAAGTAAAAATATGTTGTAATGGTCTTCAACAGTATTGCATCCAGTGAATAGAAATTGCAAATCAAGGGATGAGAGATCATTGTTTATAAGATCATAGTTGCCTTTTTTGAACTTATAATTGGGGATTCCATCGTTGTGATGATTTTTGTGTGGACGTATGTTGAGACAAAAGTCAATCATGTTGTGGGCACTGTTGGAAAAGGGTTCTTTAATTTTATTCCATAAATTGAATTCAAACTATTGCAGAAGATGATATTGAGGCAGTTATTAAGTCTAGTATTGTTGGTTACTAGTTGTTCTAGTCCCAGATTTGTTACGGCATTGTAAAAGGTTGCATGTGTGGGTTCAGTTGTACATTCGTTAAGCGTCCAGTTAATATGAGGTAGATTGAAGTCACCAAGAAAGATAAAACTGTGTGGGCAGGATGCTGCCCATGTTAGTAGTGTATTTAGCTTGTTTGCATGTTCGATGTCATAATCAGGGACTCTGTAACATAGTAAGAATCAAAATGTGATATTTAAGAACAGTTCACAGATGATGGTCTCAGGAATAGCAAGCTCCTGGGTAACTTGGATGTTTTTTTAGATATAAGGACTTTTTATAGAAGATAGCAACACCTTTACAGATTTCATGATCTGATCGGTAAACATGATAGTATCTTACTGTGGTGATGGAGTCAGGGAGAGATGTATTGAGCCATATTTCACAGACAAATATAATGTCAAATTTACCCGTATTTAGTAAGAGGAGAAATTCAGGTATTTTATTCACAAGGCTTCTTCATTGAATAGCTTGCATTTAAGGCCAGCTGTAGTTGGAATTGAGGTAGTTGGGAGCTTGCATGCCTAGTCTTGGATGATGGTGGATTGGTTTAAGTGGGGTTGGATGCTGAGTTGTGGGTTGTGTGACTTACTTTTGATACATTCACCATGGTAGTCAATGTACAGGTCCTTTTCTCCATTGTCTAGATGGTTTTTGAGTTCTGCGCGGAGTTCATGGGAGCAGATTCTTTGCAGTATGGATAAGTCTGGTCTTGAGTGAAATTTTTTATGGGTGGGATTGGATTTTGCAATGGTGTTTATTATATGAATGAATATATGTTTGCTGGACACAGAGCTGTCACTGTATTTGTACCCAGGACCATCTCTGGTTATTTCAATTATATCTTCAGGAGATATGTTTGTTGTATTTGAGTTGTTTCTGATATCGCGAACCTTGATGGTGTTGTCTGATTCGCTGGTGTCTTCGAGACTAAATAAGATGGCATTTGGACGTTTCTGCTCACGTTCCATGATGTCCCTGATGAGTAAGGGGATATTATTTGTGGAATTATTTGATGGAATAGTAATTGTTTGTGGCTGTGGTTTGGTGGTTATTTTTGGTTGTAGTTGTGATTGTAGTTGAGGTAGTGGTTGTGGTAGTTGTGGGATTTGATTTTGAGCTGATAGGTAATCACTTATCCGTGCTTCATTTTTTTTTTTCAAGAGAGATTAGGCTTGCTTGTATAGTTGTTTCAAAACATGTTACTAAGCGTTCTTCTATTGAGTGAATGAGTGATTCTATGCTTTCAACTCTGTCAGGCAGGGTACTCAGTTTGTTTAGGTTAGGAGAACATGATGGACATAGACAAAAGAATGTATCTGATTTAACCTCAGACTGTCTACTGTTGACCTCACCCCATTCCTAAGAGGTCTGTAAGGGGCGTGCATAAGCTCACCAAGATGCCTACCTTCCCTATCTTAATGTTCCCTTTTATTCATATCTATTTCATGTATTAATAATCATGTTTATACTAATATATATTATCAAATGCATGCTTGACCTTTGAAAGTGGCCAGAGTTTAATGAAGCTTCTTTCCTCTGAGGGCTTGCTATATTTAACTTGCTTTCTTTTGCCTATCTAAACTTACACCACACTAGGTTTCATCCTTTTAATCTGATTTCTATTGAATTTTTTACATTTTCTTTTTTTCAGGTACATTTGACTGGGGAGAGCACAATGTCACACACTCCCCGCTGCAAACTAGTTGACTATTTGGAAGAGCTGAATGATGAGGAATTTAAGAAATTTAAGATGCACCTTGAGGACTACCCAGTGGAGAAGGGCTATAAGCCCATTCGCCGCTCCAAGACTGAGAAAGCTGCCCACATTGAAATAGCCCGATACATGATTGAGGCGTTTGATGATGCCAAGGCCTTGAAGATGACTGTCAGCATTCTAGACAGAAGAAATAAAAAGGATTTGGCAGCAAGAATCCGAAAGGAAATGCTGGAATGTATGTAGAGAAAGCCCAACTGGTAACCCAAGGGTGACTCTTAAGCACTCATGTCCTTTGTTGGCTTCTAATCCTCTTTCCCCCTCGCTTTCTAATAATCTTTCTCTCAAAATCAATGTGAGAACAGTCTTTACATATTGTCATTTTGGAGTGTAGAGCAAGTGTGTCAGACAGCTGGAGGAAAAGGGAAATAAATATGAAGTAGTGAATGCAGTATTTAATAGAGTCTGTTGTGATGTTCATCTTGTTTTCTGCAACTCAGGTCTCACCTCTTGTTTTAGCTGATTTGCTAATCTAGCAAACCAAAAACAACTAGAGATGTTTTGTGAGTTAATAGTTATCCCCTTTGTTTTAGCTGAGGCATCTGCCTCCTCAGACAAACAAGAAATCCTTTTACATTTTTATTTTTGAATTTGGTATTTTGATGAAAAATTCTGTTGGCCAGCTTTTCTCAATGCATGATGGATTATTCAAACATAGGCACCTGCGATCATGGAGAACAAACTGAACACACTAAAAATAACCTTAAATGCTTTTATTTTTACATCACTACATTATCATTACTTCGGTCTTTTTTGGAAACTGGTGATAAAAGAAGAGCTGGAATTGATTCCTTCTTGTTTCCTATTCTTCATTGGACCCCATAGTTGCAGGAAATTCTACTAACTCTCTGGGAAACAATGCTCCTCAAGATGTGATGCACAAAACGATGGCAGTAGGAGACGTCTGGTTGGGGAAAAAATCTGTTCTATCCAATATTGTTTGTTGTTCATTTTATCAGTTGATGCTCACTGCATTAACTATGCACTGATGCATTTATTTGTTTAGCCTATCAGATGGTTGCAGAAGGAACAAAGGAAACCAAGTAGATTCTATTTCTTCTAATCTAAGAATGACCATTTATTTCCAGCAGATTTATTTCCAAAGCCACCTACCATGACCAAGAAAGAAAAAAAAGAACGAGAAAAGACAATACAGTCAAATCTACGTGACAAGTTTTTGGGCATCCGAAAGAAAGGTTAGTTGCTGTTGAATGAATTAATGTGTTCCTAAATTAAAGTCTTGGGGTTGCTGCAGAAAGAAGGGCAGAAGAAGATAGATCTGAATGCTTATCCCAGTCTGAATTGCTGTACACCTGAGGCACCCTATACTCCATTTAACAAATGCATTGGGGAGAGCAGGGTGGGTGTTATTAAGGAAGGCAATCATGTCAGCGCCCCACTTAATGACCATCACCACCTTAGACTATTATGGACAAGTTCCATTATGGTTATAATTCAAGGATTATCTGTATACTGTAGAAAATCAAGTTAAATTTCTTGCTAGTAAGTTCTTTCTGGGTTTAATTCATGTTTTCCAAATGCCACATTTTTACTCCAAGCTTAGCTCTGTGTTTCTCTAGAAATGCAAATGTTTATAGTATCCACAATTGCATTTTGATTGAGGGCTCATACTTACATCCCCCTACCAAGTGCCACTTCAGAAAGAGAAACTTTCCAATATAGAGGCCACTGTAGGAAAGTGGGTACCATTTTGGAAGCAGCCATTGTGTGGCTTTGTGTGGCTATTGTGTGTAAGCAAATAAAGAAGAGAATTTTGGTTGAATTGTTCTATATTGTTTTTAATCTTAGCCTGACAGAAAATATCATTGTAATATTTTTATTTACAACTTTAGTGGAAGTGATCTTGGATCCCAAGACAGCTTATCCTGCCCTCATCCTTTCAGAAGATCGGAAAACAGTACATATGGGGGAGCAAACCAAGGTCCTTCTTGACAACCCTGAGTGCTTCCGGTTTTTACCAGGTGTCCTGGGAGCAGAAGGTATTGAGTCTGGGACTCTAGAATGGGTGGTGGAAGTGGGAAAGGCCAAAGAGTGGGCCATTGGGATTGCCCGGGAATCAGTAGAAAGAACATATTCAGAAGATATTACCATTACTCAAGGATTCTGGGTACTGCAATTAGCACAAGGAGAATACCAAGCATCTACAAGCCCTCCAATCAAACTTACACTTTGGAAATCACCAGAACGTATCTTAGTTATCCTGGAGCATGATTTTGATAGGCTTATCTTTTATAATGCTGACTCAATGGCTCATATCTTTACTTTTAATTATCCATTTTGTGAGAAAGTGTTCCCTTTTCTCCTAGTGAGGGACAAAGAAAATCCCTTGAAAATCTCTCCAAGAACTTCAGTGTGACAAGACATGGAGAGAAAAAGGAGAATGAGTTTTTGAATCATTTGTTTATTTACTCTGGAGGAATTTCTTTTTGGATTAGTTTAGTGTTTTATTAATCTTTGATTCATTTCTCTTTGCCTGAAATGTTTTTGAACTTTCAATCTATATCTTAATAAAGAATATGTAGATAGATAGTAGAGAGATATAGCTTTTTGTTTAAATGCTTATATATTTTAACTTTCTATTGCTGTTTTCTCATTATATATAAACTGCATAGTTTATATAATGTTTAATGTAAATTATACTGATGATATTGTTGTAAGCATCTCTCTGATTTTAAAATATGAAACAAAAATATATGCAGCTCAGGATTTAATATTTTAGTTGCTGTCTGAACTTGGTTATTGTTTAGCCAGAATAGGCTAATCATGTTTTGAGGGTAGAAATAGACATCTGCCTTTACTGACAAAAAAGAAGAAGATATTTTGTTTTCAAAATTAAGCTTGTTGAGGTGACCAGGACACAATCTCATATTCACATGTTGTTAGATTTAACACAGGTTTTCATCCAAAATAATGATTTATATGATGCCTTTAAAAAATTATAATACAGATTGACATTTTGTTAAACTTGGAAAACTAAACTAGTCAAAACATTAGCAACTTTTGTTTTATAAAGTAGCTACAGTTTTATCCACCAGAATTTTTGCCAGTCTGATATTAACTTTTCAAGACCCTTTTTGCTTTTGGTGTTGGCCTTTGTTTCTGCATCCTTGGGTGGGTTTAAATTTTTTAAAAAAACATACTCTCACAGCATCGGCAAATGTGATAAGTTCCAGAATTCGTAATGTGAGGGTGATCTGGCTGCAACATCTGTCACCCCATTGATCGCCAGGGTTGATTTGTCTGATCTGACTGGCTAGGCGAGTGTCCCCTTCCTCCCTCACCACTCCAAGTGCGTCCTTCCCGAAGCTGTACACTTGGTGGTAGAGGATGACCATCCCAGATAGACGGAGTGGAATGTACCACTCTTCGGTCAAGGGTATACGATAGATATTTTGGTTAAAAATTTGAGAGTCTGCTTATCTGTATACACTTATCTACAAGTATATACAGGAAGTATGGGTACTTAAAAAGTATTATTGTATAAACCCATGGATAAGCCCATCCTTGGATAAACCAAACACAATTTGGGAAGTGTATTTTAGCACATAAAATTTTTGTTTATTCACGTATATACACTATTTTAAAATTGCACAAACATTAAAAATAAGTATTCAAATAGCTATATTTTCTAATCAAAATTTGCAAATGAAAAAGACCTACTTCTGGAAATTGCATAAAAACTGCATTAAAAAAATCAAGGGAATTTGTATTTTAAAAAGCCCTGGGCAATTTATATTAACATATACATAAATTAAGGTAGAAGTCTATACAACTCCCCTAGGGAGCAAAGAATTTGCCAATATAAATGATTATAAATTTTTCTATACCGTTGAAAGAAAAATCCTGATTTAAAATCTTGGTAAACTTAAGTGGCCTGCTAACATGAATAGGCTGTTAACATGGGTGGTATAATCAATTTTTAATTACCCAAAGATTCCCAACTATAGCTTGCTTCTAAAAAAAACAATAAAGAGTCATCAACTTTGCCAACTTAATGAACATCAAAATATTGCAAAAAAAAATTATCATTTGCTTCTATGGGCTACTTGTTTCAATTCAATTACCGTGTTTTCCATTTTGGAAAATGTGTAATATTTGGCTTTATCACAGTATTTTTTTAAAAAATATATAAAACATGCCATTTTCAACATTTTTCCTACCTGCTACAGCAATACATTCCATCCAATTTTTTAGTACATTGAAAGCAATTGTCTGTTTCCCACTTAGTTCCTGGGGAATGTTTTGCTTTATTTAAAAAAAAATCAATGCATACAATCTCTAGGAAACAAAATTTCAAATCAGTGTTATTTGATCACAAGATCTATCATGAACCTTAAAAAAGTTATACCTTAAAGAACGTTACAATTGGCTTGCTGTTGGACATGTAATATATATTATTATTTATATGGAGGTGTTGACAGTTGAATCCATAACCTGCAAACTGCACAGCTCTTCTCATAAGAACTAATGGAGTTCATTTTTTTCATTGGTATTTTTCCATTCTGAATGTAACAGTTCCAATGGTGGTTTTCAAAATTTTTTGCTACTGGTTCTGTGGGTGTGGCTTGGTGGACATGGCAGGAGAAGGGTACTGTAAAATCTCCAGTCAGAGGTGGTATT